GTATCCAGGAACATGATATGAGCTATGTAAATAAGAAAACAAGTTCAACATATTCGAATCATCTTTTAGAAGAAAATCATATCTTTAACGAAGAGTTCGAAATTTTACACATACAAAATAAAGGTTTGAAACTGAATCATTTGCAAGCAATGGAAATTTATAAACTCAAAAATTCAAACATTCTAATTAATGACCAACTGGATTTGAATAGATCACCATTGTTAAACTTGTTGAAAAAACCGAGGAAGTATTATTGTATTATTTTTCATGTAGAAGTGAGGTAATATGCTTCAGGTAATCATAATTGAAGAGGTACCTCTGGTATATAAAAGTTGTAGAGATTTAGGTAATTTTATGGGGGTAGTCTAAATTGTAGTGGTATATAATTATTGTATTATTTTTCATGTAGAAGTGAGGTAATATGCTTCAGGTAATCATAATTGAAGAGGTACCTCTGGTATATAAAAGTTGTAGAGATTTAGGTAATTTGATGAAGGTAGTCTCAATTGTAGTTACCTGTGGTATATACATTTTAGCGTGAGAAGCAACTTGTAATATTCAAATCACTGTTGAAGAAGCTACTGTATTAGCGAAACATGTGTGATATAATTCCCACATAAAGTTTGTTTAGATCAAATCGTAAAGTGTAGTTCATGAAAATAGTTTATTTTCACAAATACTGCTTCTATATGAGAAACTGACTAACCTTCTCAATAGGGTACTAAATATAATCATCATGAACCAGAGTTATTTATTTATGAGACTTTGTTCTTGAGCAAAAAAGCGAAAATGGATTTTTTTTTACTATAAAGTTGGATATTCAAAGCGGACATGTTATTCTATATACTGAAACTAAGGTAAATACTGTTGGTATGGTCAACATTTCAAAGCATAAAAATCCCTAATAGGGTACAATAATATCAATTATTGAGAATATTCTCTTACCGGAATGATCAGATGCCAGCTGAAGAGCAGATATCCATTGCAGCCTAGTCATATGATTTGATGTACCCAACTCCAAAGTTCTTTCTGAAGTGTTCAACGAGATTCTGTAACCAGATTTCGGTTCAACTTTACATCCAGGCTCTATCGGAAAAGAACCGCACCGATCTTTTTCATTTCTGGCTTTGTAATAAACGAGTTCAAATGGCCTAAGAACAAACCAGTACTCTCTCATTGTTGGGAGTATGTAGCCTTTTTTTGAAAGAAACCCTTTTTTAATAACATCTTCAACTATTTTTTGGTATATATCAGTAACAGCTTCACTTATTGCTACATCGTCTTTGACACCATTCAAACATTTGGATTCTAGAACTGCTATAAAAGGAGTCAGCCGAAAATTTCCCATGGAGATACTGAGACAAGCGAAGTCCTCTTCGTCAAAGATGCATCCCAGAGAATTTGTTAAGGTTTGAGCAATTGGGCACACCTCAGAAGGATGCAGCAGCACCTGATATGTATTCTCACTGGTTTTATCCGGCACTAAATCTGCCAAAACACAAAAAATGCGGAATATTTGAAAAAGAGAATGCTCCGAAAAAATTCTGTGTTCCCTCGAAATATATTTCTTCCTGCAAACGAGCCAACATACTTCCGCTATTTTAGTTTCGTAAATTCGAAGTTCGGGTACTTGAAGTTTAGCTGGTAATGAAGAGAAAACTTCCCTCTGGAGGTAGTACTTGAACTGGTCGAAGTTGAGTGTGGAAGTGCTACGGAAATGTTCCAGACCCTTTTCAACACCGTATAGATCCAGGAGAGTGCCTATATTGGCGGTTAGGACCTATTAAACGATCAAAGTTGTGAATAAACTGAAAATTATGAAATTTTGCGTTTTTTAAAATACAACTGTCAATCATTTTGGAAAGTAGTGGTAGTGGTGGAAAGTAGAGGTGAACCCAAAAATAGCATGTTTTGAGAAAATTCGTAATTCATGTTTAGTTAAAATAATTTTATTTTGACTTATTTTACTAATCAATAAAAAATATGTTTGATATCTTTCGATATTCTGAGACATCGGTTTTTCAAATATCGGAGTATTTTTCTGTGAATGGTTTTTCTCTGGGCATTTCCTTAAGAAGTTATCCAAGTTTTTTCAATTCTGTTTGTAGTAATCGATTATTCTTGTTGATTCATGATCAGAAAATCCTCAAGGTGTGTAAAATGAAAATATTTTTACATATTTTCTGCACTGATGCCACCATTTTTTNTTAAACTTGTATCCCGAAAGACGACAACTACATCGAACTATGTTCTAGTTATTGGATCAAAATTTCACCGGGTTTGGTTCGTTTGAAAAACCAATGAAAAAATACGGAGACAGAATCAACAATCAAAATTTGATAAATGGGGTGCGTATGAGGTAAATTGGACATTATGTCCTTTTCAATGAAAATAGAACTTTGAACAAATTGCAATAATTAAATAAAATGTAAAAACGAAAGTAAATCACAGCAAATGCTCAAAATGCTGGCCCTTTTTCGAATATTATTCACTGCACGATTAATTTCCCTCCTCCTCAATCTTCCGAACTCTCTAACAATGCTGTGTTGAACGTCCTTAATATTTTGATATTCCTTCGACCATAAAATCAATTTTTCAGTGTATACCATAAGAATGTCTCCATAACACTTGAGTCTGGAGACCTTGCTGGTCACCTCACTGACCCAGCTGCCGAAGCAGCTTAGGCCAAGTAATCTCTTCTCTCATGTAATTCAAATGACACTTTCGTTTCGTTTCTAACCTGATTGAGTTTCTCATGGTTTATACATGAAATAATTTCCAATATCTTTTCGAACTGTGATTGACTATATACTTTTCACTCACAAATGATTCATTTTTTATTACTTTTTAATCGCAATTTCAATTAATGTATTTAAACACTTGACAATTAACTATTTTACATTATATCAACATTTCGCCTAACAACCTCACTTGACACTGTAAGAATTAACTAATTTATCATATTACCATTCAAAGAATATAATCCTTTTCATCATCTTGCAGCTCCCTGATGATGACAATACCCATTGTCGAAATATTGGAAATAAAATGTTATGAAAGTATACCTTGGCTTTTACTTTTTCCTGCATTCCCAAATAATTTCAAGGCTTGAAATGACGTTTCAACAAAGTCTCATTTGTCATCATCCTGGCGATTTCTGTTATAAAGATGGAGCTTTAGTCGTGTGGTGTAAGCACAGTCGCTTTTTGTTTTCAATGAAGATGAATCAATATGTATTTCTTTTTAGGTGAAGAGGTGAGAAACCGTTCTGGAAATATTCTTATGAATAGTAAATGAGTAGAAAAATGAATTATTATTTCTATTCATATTCACTGCATCTATGGGATCGACCAAAAATTCAATTTTCGAATATCAAAGATTATTGAGGCTCCCAGGCGATCAGTTGTAAAGCCAAGCTTTGACATCGATCGCACCAAGGCAGCTAGATGGACTTGGGATACAACACCAGACAGCGCTGTTTCGACTCACCAGGTCTCATCAGTGTTGCTAGGTATAACCACTGAACTGTCCTGAAAAGGAAAAGCCTAGAAGTAAGGGCAATGTTTACATTTGGAAAGAATTGTGAAATATTTTCACATAAATGTTCAGTAAATGAATATCTGAACAATTCAGGAGGTTGATTCATATGAGGTAATAATCATTAATTATGTTTAAAAATATTCCGGAATGTCCTCAGTCTTCAATCACCAGTTTCTAAAAATAATTTTTTTACTCTCCTCATTATAGCCCAAAACCAGCAAAGTTGTTGTATAATTTCATGGTGTTGCATCAGTTTTATTTTATTTGTATTTTATAATTACTTCCAAAATGCTAACTGATTATATTAGATGATCGGTGAACACAATACAGTTGTAGGCAATAAAAGTGTTTTATAAATTTGTCATGGAAACGTTTATGAAATAAAATTAAAAAACCATTATAAAATGGTCAGGAAATTATCACAGAAACGTTTTTGCAACTAACTTATAAAACTTATTTTCCTATAAAAGTAAATTGTTATGTAGCAGTTTTATATCAGAAGGGATAATATGAACAACCTGATCAGGGGTCAAAGAGCTGGCTATGATAGAGAAATGGAAATACTCGTTCAAACAACAGAAAATTTGGGACAAAAAGCATAATTCATTGCTAGTGGAAATGTGTTGACATTTCATGTAATATCAATCCCCAGTGAAGCAGGTAGCAAAATACCACTCATGGTTCTTTATAAGACTTCACAAAAATCAATTTTGCAATGACGTGGCAGGCTTGACATTATGTACCGCGACATCAGGAGTTCTCCCTCGTTGCCCTATCTATTTTTATCAATTCAAATTGATTAGAGGCTTTTATGCGGATGAACTTCCATCAATCATCGTATTTTT